GATAGTTCACACACTTCATTTATGCTCATGGATCCTATCATCAGCAGTTCTGCCCGTTTGTCCAATGTATCCACACTTTTTTACAATCTCTACAAAAATTATCGACGAATATGAAGAAGCACGTCGCTGTTATAGTGTTATATAAAGATGCTGAACAAAAATAGAAATTATTTTTAGAATATTTCGGTAACTGAAAACCTTCGGACCGTAATTAAAATCAATTGTTAACTTTATTTACCGCGTGTATGCAGCAAATTTATCGCGACAACGCCAATTCGAATGAAACAAGAAACGGTGCCAATAATAACAACCAGACATTCGACATTTACCTGATGTAGGTAATTATTAGAAGATATGTTTAGGCGTTAAAGACCGAGGTGAGAAATTATGTTACCAAAAAAAAAATAAATAATCCAGAAAACGTAACCGATCTTTATTTTTATTTAACTAATCATCAGCAGAATTCATGAATGATTTATGGAATCATTTTACATTTTAATTCTAAATTTTTCATCAAAGGTTAAATGAATTATTCTTAATATAATGCCTAGTTCCTCCACCATATTTTGTCTTAACGCAAAAATAAGTCTGGTTTGTTGATTACTGACAATGAGCAGAATACAGAAAGAAAAGGGTACTTTATGAGCAAAAAAGAACATATCAAAAACTATTCTATAGAGTTGTTCGGAAAGTCATTTCGTTTTTTCCCGACAGAGGATTTAATTGTATTCTTTTGCAGCCAACTTAACATTTAAGCCGTATAATTTTTATATGCTTTGAGAGCTCATATAGCAAGGCTTGTGTGTGAAAAATTCCAATTAATTCTACGCAGTAGTTTTTGGTTGGTGCCCTTTTAAATATGGAGAGCGATAAGCAGCATTTTCGACATATCTTACTGTTTTACTACAGAAAGGGTAAAAATGCTGTTCAAGCCAGAAAGAAATTGACTGATGTGTATGGAGAAGGTGTGTTGACAGTACGCCAGTGCCAGAACTGGTTCGCTAAATTTCGATCCGGCAATTTTGATGTCGAAGATGCACCACGTTCGGGAAGGCCGGTTGAAGCTGATAAAGACGCGATAAAGGCATTAGTTGATGTGAACCGGCGAATAACAACACGTGAGATCGGATTGAGGTTAAATTTATCAAATTCAACAGTTTATGACCACTTGAAAGGCCTGGGATTATCCTCGAAGCTCGATGTATGGGTTCCCCATGTTCTCACAGAGAGAAATCTGTGTCGCCGCATTGACGTCTGCGATTCGCTTCTCAAACGTCACGAAAATGATCCGTTTTTGAAGCGCATCATCACTGGGGACGAAAAATGGGTTGTATACAACAACGTCAAACGCAAGAGGTCATGGAGCAAAAAAGATGAACCGGCTCAAACCATTTCCAAAGCCGATATTCACCAAAAAAAGGTGATGCTGTCTGTTTGGTGGGATTTTAAAGGAATCGTTTTTTTTGAGCTTTTACCGGATAACACAACGATTAATTCGGAAGTCTACTGTCATCAGCTGGACAAACTGAATGATGCACTTCAACAGAAAAGGTCAGAACTAATCAACAGGAAAGGTGTAGTGTTTCACCAAGACAACGCGAGACCTCACACAAGTTTGGTCACTCGCCAAAAGCTTTTACAGCTTGAATGGGATACAATGCTACACCCACCATATTCTCCAGACCTGGCACCATCGGATTATTATTTGTTCCGGTCACTCCAAAATTTTTTAGACGGTAAAACCTTCACCTCAAATGAGGAGGTCAAAAACCTCCTCGATCAGTTTTTTGCCAGCAAAGACCAAAAATTTTATGAGCGTGGAATTATGCTACTACCAGAAAGATGGCAAAAGGTGTTGGACCAGAACGGTCAATATATAATTTAAAAAAAAAACGAAATGACTTTCCGAACAACCCTATATATTGTTTCATCTGTTAGTAAAAATCAGTTTGTAAATATGAGATGCTGATGCTGGTACAAAGTAATTGTAAGTATTGTTAATTTGAACTTCGAAAATATCAAAATATCCTTTTTAATTGTGCCTGTCATTTAATTCTAATTGATTATCTGCTAATATAGTTTATTAACTAAATAATCTACCTTGAAAAAGCCTTAAATTGGAAGGCGAAACGTCGGTGGAATTACACTATTAGTTAATAAAGAACCTCTACTTCTTCCTATCTTTAACCAATCTTCGAAGTCTACCTCTGCCCCTTTTAACTCCAGCTCCTGCTTCTAATATGTCTATAACTAGCCCTACATGTCTAAGCTACTCTTTCAAATACCTCATCATTTCTAATCTTTTTTAGATATTCACGATATTTGCAACATCCTCCATTACACCACATCCATTGGCGTAGATAGGTAGGAGCAAGGAGGCACTGCCCCCCTCCCTCTAGCAAGCTCATTGCCCCCTGGAAAAGGCTCTGACGACTGACGATATCGGCACAAAATTTAAAAACATACAAACCAAACATGTTAAACCTATATATAAACTAACAACTATTGAATATCTGCCCCTCATAGGAAAAATCTCTTGCTACGCCTATGACCATATCTCAACATACACTTTTAATAATTTTTTTTCACCGATCCTAAGCACAAAAGTTATTTCTTTTTGTTAATAACGATCCGACTTGTTTTATACCTCTAGAATCTTTTAATTATTGTTATAAAAAGTACTTAATTCAGCTACATAATTTTAATTACTGGGACTGAACCAAAAATATTTTTGGAAAACAAACATTAAATTGAAGATTCTTCCTATATCATCCTTTTTAAACTTTCGTATTTACTTTTAATGTAAAATATATGCTAATAGCAGAAGGTATAAGTCATTTGTCGGAGAATGACGTAGGTACAAATAAAATGGAAAAAAAGGACCTATGAAGCATCACAAAGTGAACAAAATGATGCGGTCGTAAATTTAGATCTTTTATGTTTCCTTTGTAGATCGGTTTCAAAAGGACTTTTACATGTAATAATGGGTATTTTTGTATATTGTCAGGACGTTAATGCTAGAGGTTAACCATTGTTTTGTTTAAAACTCGAATTTACACATCTGGCACCTAAAAATACATAGAAAATATACAAATATCGAACAAGGCTCGACTTATCCTTATTTTTAAAATGTTTTCCACGATCAATAAAGTGTTTACACATTGTGACATAATAATGTGACGAAAACATTAACCAGAAAGTGTTTAGCTCACAAAATAAAACGAGAAAGGCCTAGCGGGCACGCCATAGGAAAGGATTCTGTATAATTATTTAAAAATTTTGATCGTAGATTCAGGATCTATGAAAGCAAATATCTAGTGACTGAAGGATTAAAATAAAAAAGCACTTTTTACAATCCGAATATTATAAAAAAACCGTCGCATTCACCATAAATCATCGGAAAGGACACAAAATTCAAATATAAAGTTATTAACACTATTTTGCAATTAAATGCATTATTATCGATTTTCTTATGAATGTGGAAAGATGGTATTGCGTTTCATTGGTTTCACTCACTTTCCACTATTAAATCAACAAAAATTTTCCTATTTTGGCATCGCATAGCGGACATTCTAGCTGTTGGAACGTAAATTCTAATTATTCAAAACTGACTATATAAGTATTAATGTAAATCTGTCCCGAAAATTGATAGAAAATGCTGGCATGCAGATTATCAAAAGTCACACTTCGATAATACATTTAACGCTATCGAAAAATGAATCTTTCCAACTTTACACTAAATTGTACGAATCGATCTTCAATGTATTCTAATATATCACTATGATGCATCGGCTAAGATTCCTTGGAACCTTCGTCCAGCAAGCAATGGTCATGGCGTTCCCTTCATCCATTTTGATACAGAATATTATGACGAAAATCACGTATTTTTCATGTTTTCCATTAGAGTTTATAGAAATCGGTCATCAAGATTAATCAAGAATTAGCCACAATTAGCCAAACTAATATTGGTCAACTTTGATGCCTATTCCGGGAAAAACTGAAGGGCAAACTTGAAATAGAATAATTTTTCTTGTTTAAACTCCGTTAGACACGGGTTTTTCAGTAAAAATGTTTGAACTATTGATTAGTATGATATTTTCTCTAATGAATAAAAATTTGGCTTGAATACTTTAATAATGTATGTAATATTTGATATGATAACCTGAATTAAATTGGTTTTTCTTAATTAAAGGCAAGAGGTAAGGGGATGGTCGTATTACAGTTTATCAGTTTACACTCTGTTGGCATGTAAGGAAAGAAAAAGTAGGGAAAGAGCGAATATAAAGATGAGAGACGAAAACTTAGCTGATTTTCAGTATCAAGAAAATTAGATAATTCAAGATTGAAGGAGCAGTAGAGATATAAAATTAGGGATAACGCAAGGTCGAGTTGCCTTTAACAAAAAGTAGTCACGTCTGGAAATAAGGATGCAGGGAATAGAAAATGTTAGAAATGAGGAGATATTAGAAACAGTAGGAGAACAGAGATCGTTATGAAAATCAATAAGAAATAGGCGAAACAGGTTGATTGGACATCTTCCCAGGTATGAAGGCTAATGAGAGACATTTTCGAAGCAGAAACAGGAGTTGAGAGGGATACAGGTAAACCTAGATTAGATTACTGTTCAGAAATAATTAAGGATATGAGGCAAATGCGAAGATTAACTCAAGTTAAGAAAGTGTGTGGAAGTGCATGATCAACCAGACTTAAGATTGACGACCCTATGATAATGATGATGATGATTCAACAACAATCGACTAAATCATTATCATTCATTCGTTACATACTCATAATAACGTAAAAAAAAAACAAACGAGCCTCGATCACCGATCTATTTTCAACTCCATCAGAGATCATTTCGGAACAATAGGGTATCGACGACGCGCCGCGACGTCCGTCCGTACGTTCGAAAATAATAAAGTCAGCGAGAAGCTCGAGGCGTCTCGTTACGGCGCAGTGACGTCACGAGGCGTCGCGTATAGCAACGACGGCGGCGTCCCGTTCTACTGATCGTAGGGATAGTGTTATTATTCGCGTCGAAGTTCGCTGTGGAGTTCAGGTGTTCCGCAAGTAAAACAAAAAATAGTAAAAGACATTTCCGTTAGTTATTGACAGAAAACACATCCGTCACCTTGACAACAGTTTTCCCTTGTACAAAGTGCCACTTGTTTTGGCAACTGTTTTACTTTTCGGTTTTCCTGCCTTTGATCGTCGTCGGTCGATTGCCACTTTCGCTTTCGACGAATGATATCAAAATAACAAGAGAAATAAACGAGTTGGAACAAAATCGGGGCCAGGAAAGAACGTCTACAGTGTGACCAAAAAAGGGGTGGAGGACGCGCTATTGTTTGTTGCTGCACGTTTAAAAAAAATATAGATATATTATTGTGTACCTACCCGAACGTCTGCTACATGTTTATACATATATTTAGATAATTGTGCTGGACATTTGCCACATAATTTCGGACTACTATCATACCTGCCTACTAGATGCGATGAAAGAAAACAATGTGGTGTGTGGCAGATAGCAACGCGATACCAATTATCTAACGCAATACCACTACCCCCACACGACCAACTGCAAATGGGTGCTCTGAAACACGCCAGAAGCTTCAGCAACGGTAACAAAACTTTTTTAATTAAATTCAGTCCCTACCTATCACTTTTGTTTTTAGTAGGTGCGTACATTGTTACCTACGAATTATTTACAATTTGATTGTGTTTGTGTATTTTACTTGGCTAGGAAATCTAGTTAGTCAAGTAGGTACATTGAGTAAATATCTGATGTTCAATATTACCTAACGCTTACACTTTTGCTCTGGTTGGTTGAAAAACAAACGTACGGATTAAATTATGCAACAGGTAGGCCCACTAAAGTATGCGTTTTCTAAACAATGAGTCGCTATTTATAGATAATATCCTCGCAAATCGTACATACACTACTCGTAAGGATATCTATTATTAGCGGCCGTGAGAATCTAGTAGGTATGTAGCAAAAATTTTTGTGAGCGATCTATTTTGTTTATTTATTACTAGATACGTGTGCGAGTTATTATGTGTGTTAAGTCTCTATGTCTGTTTGTCATCTGAAACGCAATCAATAAATAGGAAATCATCTATCTATCTATCTACCCTCGTATCTGTCTGTCTGTTTTGTATTATAACAACGTTCCACCGTAGGCTTAACTGATGTTTGCGCAGCACTCCGTTTCTACACAAACGCTAAAAGTTGCGGAAATGCCCTAAACGCAATGGATGCTTTCGTTAAATTATGTTCAGAAATTAAAAATCAACAATTTCGACGACAATAAACAAGTGGAAAAAAGTGGCCGGGTCTAAATCTTTATATTCGGACGTACGGTTGGTTGCTTGCATTTTAACTGCATACCTACTATAGGCATTAAAGTTTTAATTCATTAGGGTAGCCCGACTAGAATTTTGAGGGAGTGCAGGCAGGTTCTCTAAGTGGGTAGCGACACTACTTTTTGTGGGCCCCATGAGGTTGCCCCCTGAGGCAAGGAAGGGGCATAAACGTCTTGCCGCATTTGCTCCTCATCAGGGGCCCAGCAGAGAAAAATTATTGCTATCCAATTAAAAATTTTTGGAAAAATGAACTTTATTATTAATGAAAAAAAATACAATATATATACATATATATCACTTATTTGTAAAATTTGTTTGCTCTTAAGTAAGATTGTGTTATTGGCTGCAATCGTTTTACTGTTGTTCTAACCTGATGCGTCTGGTTCCAGTTGTCTTATAATAACAATATCAGGAAGTACACTTGTTAGTTCTTTGCAAATGTAAATATTTCATTGATACGACGACATAATTGGGCAATGGGATTATTATTTTCAAACTGATTTGCCTCATCGAGCCCCCATAAGGTAGATTTAATTTAAATTTATATATGTGATAGGTTTGCCCCTCAAGATCCGTATGAAAAACCGATAAGGCAAAACTCATTTTAGTATCACCACATTTTTGGTGAGATTTTCATGAGGAATCTACGGGGAAATCCCTATATTGCCATACCCCTTATTATCCACATGAGGCCCTCATACCCCCTATTAATTCTAGTCGGGAGGTCATCATCATCGTATCATCTCCTACAACACTATATAACGTCACATCTTATCAACAGTCACATATAAATTGTAAAATACTTGAAAAAAATAAGTTTTCTGTTTAAAATCCAGATATTTGTAAATCAAATCCTATTCGCCAGTATTAAAATCAAAATAGAATTCTCTCCCAAATGAAAATATCTTTTATTTACCATAAAAACTAACTTTTCCAGCCGGTAAGAAAAATTCTGAAGAAAATTGTTCTAAAACGACTTACCCCAGTTTTCCACTAAAGTTTCCTACATAAGCAAACCAAAAGCTCAGTCAACATAATAAATTCTCCACTACATTTACAAACTGCTTTTAATCGTTTTATAGTATTTAGATCAATTTCAAAATCCTTTAATGGTCTCGATTTTTGATTACACTTGCATAATTATCTGCCACAATTTTTACGATTTATAACGCCATTATGAAACAACGTAAATTTCGACCAACTAAAATGCGATGTGATGTAAAGATTTTTACCAAGTTTTATTTATTTAACTGATTTCCAGATCCGTAGTCTTCATTTTCTACATTGATTATAAAAATTATTTATTGAGTCGTTAGAAAAAAGCTAAATTAAAATACTTAAGCGGTCAAGGTCAATGCTTCGTAGTTGTTTATCTATATCTACCTGATTCGACCTACTTTTTACAAAACTAATAAAAAGTAGGGGGTACTTATAATAACATTAATCATCAAACTCACTCTATAACATTTTTGGATACCTAGTCTCATTTTTCTTTTCTGATTTCGTGGAAAAGCGGAAATCTTCCAAAGGCACCCAGCTGTCCACACGACTGAGTAATGTCGGATTCCCGAGGAAGGTCTAGCGTCATTTGGAAGTGGCAGCGGAGATTATGAGAAACAGGAATTCAAATTGAAAAATGCTAAATGAAAAGGGGGCCGTAAACTATGTCCATCTACTCTAACCACTTTTTAATCCCCCCCCCACATGCTCTACCATGATTTTTTTGTTGCACCCCCAACAACAACAACAACATAGTCTCTTTAATATTTATGAAATGAAATTTTCATAGAAATTTTAATTTAATTTTATTTTCGTAACCAAAACTATCTGAGGCAGTAACTATCGAAGCTAGTCATTCTCATACACTGTTTATCACAGGAAATATATACTATGTCAACTTTAATTTAACTATTACGTCCGATTTACTACACAAAAATTCGAAAGTTTGATCTGTCTTTGTTCTTTATTTCTTGAACTAGAGACCCAGCCAATTAACTCTAGACACCACTCTATGGATGGAATAGACGGTTGGCTTCGCTCCCCTTGTCTATTAATGACAATTTATGTGTCATCCCTATCATCATCATAAGGTCATCAGTCCTAAGACTGGTTGGACACGTACCTCCACTCCTTCCTATCCTGAGCTAAAATTCGCATTTCCCTAAAACTAGAACAGCCCACATCCTTAACTATTTGCGAACAGTAATCTAATCTAGATCTACCTCTACCCCTCCTAACTCCTGTTTCTGCCTCTAATATGTCTCTGACTAGACCTTCATGCCTGAGAAGGTGTCCTACCAACCTATTTCGCCTATTTTTTATTGTCTTCCATAGAGTCCTCTGTTCTCCTATATTCTTATGTTTTTAATCAGTCTTAGCAAAGGACTTCATACCTTCGCCTCATTTCCTGAAGATAGAATAGAGCAGCTGACGAAACATCGAAAGAAACTTCGAAATTCATTTTTTAAAAGTTTTCTAACAATATCACACGTACTAGACAAAAAATCGTCTGATTTCAACTGAACTAATGATGGGCGTCACAGAATACTTCGCCCTAGGTCCGACGCTAAATATATTTATTTTGTGTAGGCGCCTACAAAATACTTGTCACTTAAATTAAATTTTTAAGTCCCTATCGACAGAAAGTTCGATGATCTTCTGTATAGAAATTGTTCAGTTGTGTTTCCATATTTTATAGCCTTGGCACAAGTTATTACAGTTTAATGAAATTGATAATAAAAATAAAATAAACTGTCTAACAAAAGCGAGCGGCGTTTTAAACAGACATTTTAATGCCCTTAACGAGGGTTTACGTCAAACTTCTAATAAAATAAGATACCAAACGAAAGTCTACACATCCAGAATAGAATAAATAACAAGATGAAATAGTAAAGAAGCAGCAAAAGTAAAATCCGTAAAGAAACCGCCAATAAACTGATATCCAAATAATAAAAACACAGAACACGAAAATTAAAAAAAAATCGTAAATCGACAGGGAGATGAATTTCAATAAAACATTGTATTGTACAGTATAATTAGACTAATACGACATTCTTTAAGTTGAATTTCCCTTTAACACAATGGCGCTAGCTCTCAGCTATTTACATTTACAATTATTTAAATAGAATTATCTGAAATTCGAAAAAAAATTGTAAGTTAGTAATGTTACCATAACCTAACCCAACATATAAAGCTTTAATTATTTATAACTGTTTCAATGAAAGCGACCAGAAGGGTAAGGTGACCATATTTTTTTATTTTAAATCGGGGACGAGAACATGTAGCGGGGGGGGGGATAGTTAAGTTAACACAATGGCGCTAGCTCTCAGCTATTTACATTTACAATTATTTAAATAGAATTATCTGAAATTCGAAAAAAAATTGTAAGTTAGTAATGTTACCATAACCTAACCCAACATATAAAGCTTTAATTATTTATAACTGTTTCAATGAAAGCGACCAGAAGGGTAAGGTGACCATATTTTTTTATTTTAAATCGGGGACGAGAACATGTAGCGGGGGGGGGGATAGTTAAGTTAAATAACTTAAATATGATTTTTTTAATAAAAATCATCATCATAAGGTCATCAGTCCTAAGACTGGTTGGACACGTACCTCCACTCCTTCCTATCCTGAGCTAAACTTCGCATTTCCCTAAAACTAGAACAGCCCA